ATTTATGTTTTTTATATCAAATAGTATTGATCTTATATCAAATACTATTAATTCTTCAAGTATGTTAGTTTTGCTCTGTAAATGGGAAACTGTTGGGCAATAAACGCTATTATTATTATAATACCTGAAACAGGTATTATAAAATATTTTTTTAATACATTTTTATGGATTATACTCTTTCTTTTTTAAAATATGTTGGGTGTCCAAGATGGGCGGTGGGAAAAATAATTGCCACCGATATTTTTTTAAAAACGAACGTTTTTTTACAAAACTTGTTATTCCTTCAATGACTTTATTATCAGAATATTCTGAAAAAAAAGTATATGAAATGGAAACAGACATTATTTGCCCACTAAAGGGTTAATGTTACTGGTAGAAAAAATATGCCAATTAGGTAGTCACCAATCATTCCTACCCAAACGTTCAGCGAAAATTGTTGCTGAAAATGACTTTATCTAATAACGTGTGGATTTTCGTCGGCTCAAAAATGGTCATTGTGAAAGTTCATAACAGCATATATTTCGTGAAAAATTTTCTTCGTTCGTAAATGAAAGTTTTGGTAAAAAATTATTATTGTGTGCCATCGTATGAATCAACCACCTGCAAAACATTAATCTTGGGTGAAAATCCCCAGGCAGTAGAGCTTGGACCCTCTGTGATATGGGTATAGGAGGTTTCTTTTTAGAACTGTCCATACTGTTTTTTGACTGACTGCAGCTGCAGTGCAATCTTCATGGTACTGTTTGAAGGATATTCAAGTATAGCTTCTTCTAGTTTCTGGTTTTCCACTAACTGCATTTTTATTGGAACTCTCAGTTTCACATAACCTTGCATGTAGCGTTCTAAATGTTTTAGCACATGGAATTTGTTAAGATATCTCCTGGTTAATTCTCCGTGCTTCTTCCGCAGTTCCATTTGGTAATCCATAAATAAAGTGCATTTCAGCGTTAGTAAAATTATTCATGAATGAATTACTGCTAATTGACAACTCTGACTTTCACTGATATGACAACACTATTACTGTCAGCTGGTTTCCAAAGCAGGTGTTCATGATATGCAAAGTGGCTTCAATTTTTTTTCTCGAAAACGAAGCTATATATGAATTATAATAATAATAATGATTTTATTAGTCTCAAGAAACACACAGTTTTTAGACACGTCAATACAATTTCTAAAATAATAAGTTTGAGAGGATAAGATTCGTCAATATAGTTTCTAAAAAATGCTTGTAGATNAGCAACTCCAGACATATGTTCATAATAATTTTTTTTCTTTAAACGACCTAACGATTCACCCTCTGAAATTTCTTACCGTAGTAAAGAAACACCCTGTATAATTACTCATATCTTTATAATTGACAGGACAACGATATTGCAGAATAGTAGAGTAAAGTAAAAGAAATACTAAACTAGGGTTTAGAATTCAAGTTAAAAAATTAATTATCTACTTGATAATATAGCAAGCATTCATATCAAAGTTAACAAATTCTTCGTATATTCTAGTCTTATAAGGCTAGAGAGAATTTTTATTACACTGAAACAACTGTACAAGTTGATAATTTCGTCTATTCTAGCCTTGATAGGTGGTTTCCACGGTATGTTCTAAGCGAATGTGCTACGTGGGTTGCGAAAATACCACTTTTGTTTGCTCAGTGCAAACCAGAAAGCAAAAACTAGTAACTCGCCCTGAGCTCTTCGAAAGATGACCGTCGATGGTTCTCTGCTCTCGGATACCTTTACCATCAACGCTGGTGTTTCTCTAGGTTTCGTACTGCCTCTCCAATCTTTTTTTAAATGAAAATAATAACTCTTGTGTTTCATGATTCAGATACCTACACTTGCTTTCCTAAACCGACAACAAGAAATTTCACATTTTGATAAACATCTCCTATATAGGTATGTTTCTAAAAGCAAAAGAATTAGAATCGTGATTATTATACTCTTAATCACGTCGTTGAATTAGCAAATAACTATGAACTCATGGACTATGTTGGAAAGTCATACAAACGTTAGCAAAAGACAAAATTAGACCATTGAATATTGAATACATTTTGTTAAAAGCATCTAGCAGCCTCTGGTTCCAAAAGGAATATAGTATTTCCATTCCTTCCTTTCGAGTCCTTATTTAGAAGCTTGTATGAACTGAGGGGTGGCTAGGATTTTTCCTTAAAATGTACGAATATTTTACCCCGACTTCGTCCAAGCATTGATCACCAATTTATGTGACCAAAGAGAGTTAAGCTTATCTCCTTTGATAGCCCGGCCTAATTTCTTCTAGAAATGTTCGTGAGGATGAAAAAAGTACCTAGGATTGAAATGATTAAAATTTTAAATACAAAGAAAATTGAAAGAAGTTCTGGGTGAAAATTTGCGTAATAATGGGGAATGTTCCTCCTGACGAAAATCAAGTAGTTTTCATAAAAGAGCTCTGAAACAACGCATTTTAAACTTATCATTTCTACCTGTCTCTTTAAAAAAATATTTAAATACTTAAAAAAGAGGAATGAAATAATGCATTTAACATTTAAAGGGATTCGTGTCTATTTCACCATTTGGCAACATCGGTTATAGCTAATAAAGGACAATGAATCTGTTACCTGTATGAGACAAACAAAGATGACATATTTCAGAGGCTTATTTCTTTAAATAAAGTTTGTGGACATCAAATCTTGAGGTATAGTTTATGAAATTACTGTGGATTTTCATCAAGTAACGGCAGAATCGATCAGAAAAAAACTATATTAGTTGGTAATAATTAAATAAGTAGAGTTCAATATGCTTCAAATTTCATTTACATTTACTTGTTACTTGTTAGCGAAATGCGTCTAGAAATACAAATGTTGTGAACATTGTGTAATTATTATCATGGATAGTGGCATTAATTTCATCAAGTAACGGTCAGTCCATTTATATATGAGTTGTTTTCCGGGATTGAATAAAGTTGTTATTGATAAGTGTACCAAACTTGAAAAAAAACATTTTTGTGATAGCGACGGAATAAGTAATGAAAAAAAAAAGAATTCTGAAGCACGTTAACTGCTTCAGGGCAAGTGATGTCGTCTGCAGTTGAGTTTTAAAACTTCAAGAACAAGCAGTAACAATAACTTCAATAAACGAACTCGAGTTTCAAAGTTCGAGATGAAATGCGGACATACCTAGTAGAAGTTGAGAAGTACAGGGAAAGTCTTACAGGCATCAGCAAAACCTTCACAAGGTAAATTTCTGAAACAGTCAACTTTTGATGAACAGCAGCTGAAGCAAAACAAATGAAATAATCACTGTTTTACTTTTCAATCTTGATGTAAGGAGGGAATTTCCGTACATAATGTCTGTGTGACTTCACGTCCGGAATGGATGGCTGTAGAGAAGACCAAATAATCAAAGGGAAGAGGAAAGATGGATAGTATAACCTTGTATTTGCATGAGAACTATGCACGACATCTTCACTTACAATAAAGAGGTGTATTGGAAGCATGAATGTAACGGAATTTTGGAAACCAAGTCGTCCCAAATGCGAATATGAATGAGAGCTTGTTTAGGAGTTGTCTTTTGGTCAGTCTAGGGCCACACTATAGCACAGGCGGTTTGAACGGCTGAGAGGTATATAGTAACGATGTAAATTGTACATATTATTTTTGCATTGAATAAAGACATTACCTCAGTGTCATTACGAAGCCGAAAAGGTAGTCATCGGCCAGCAAGCCATAATGGTTAAACCTCTGCAGAAGCTAGCCACTCGCGCCAGCGAAACGTCAGGAAGAAATTCCAAAAATCCACGGCTTTCAAACTCAAAAAGAAATGACACTGAAAACTTCAGCCGTGAAAGTCTAAACCATTTTGTCGAAGTCATTACCTATTCAAAAAGGGGACCACTTATTCAAGAAAACCATAGAACACGTAAGGAATTTATGTAATTTAAATTTCCTGGCCAAATGCCGATCCAGTATCTATACTTTTGTCAACCGAGTAATGAAAGGAACTTTCAAATTTCGAAAACTAGCGTAAAGTCCCATAATTCACTAATTAGGCTCCAAGCTGGTTTCGCCAATACCAAAAGGTTCTATGAAGAAACTATCATGTTTGCCTGACCTAACTATCCTAGTTAATTTGTTACCTCTGGATTCATCAAAGATGAAGTATTTTCTTTGGCTTTCGGCAGTGTGAAAGTTTTAATAGATTTGATGATTGGAGAATGCCGAACAATCACCTCGAATAAACACCCTTTCCAAATTTTATGGATTTTGGAACATCATTTCATTACCACCACCCAAAACACAACTTAACCAATACATTATAGCATCTATCGTTTACGAGATGTCTTCATTAGGCTTTATAATAAAATACATAACGTTCGAACATTTCACGTAACTTTCACTTCATTCATGAATATATATTTAAAGTAATGATATTATTTTGATTTATAGTTCGAAGAGCGAAATCCGACAGAAATCATAACTTTTGTAAAACCTTGTATACCGAATTGTACTCTTCAAAATGTAGCGGTTCGAAAGGTATTTAAGATAAACTTTACTTCTGAGGGCAGAAGCTGTAAAACTGTTTAGGTCTCAGTTGATTGACAGTTTTAAAAAAATGTGTGATGAACAACACAACATGACTAGTTTGTGGAATTTGTAGAATCTTCTAATATTTTAGGTGTGTGAACTAAAAAAAACATGTGGTCGCAAGCAAAAAAGCATAATCTTAAACCCGAATTGTGGGCAGAGAGATACAAAGAGAGAAATACCGGCAGTAAAGGTATTTTATGACTATGAAAATAAAAACTATTATGCTTTTGTTTTTTTTACTAACAGGCTTTATACAGTTTCCAATTGATACAGCATGCTGTGTGATCCGATGTGCTTTTATTAAAATCAAGGTAAATATTTGAATGGAAAAATGCATTCTGATAATGCTCGAAATTAATTATTTCAGCTGTATACATTGATATCGAAGAAGATAGACCTTGTGATTATGATACCAGAGAATATTCTAAATGGTCAGACCTACCAGATTTGCTGTTGGAGCAAATATTTTCCTATCTGGGAATTCGGGAAAAATATTATGCAAGTTTGGTGTGCAGGAATTGGTATCGTGCATTTCATTTTCCTTATGTATGGAGTAGTTTCATTTTGGAGGATAACACTTTAACTAGAAGCAGGTTTAACTATTATTCTGGATGGCAGGTATATTTTCTCTTTATTTCCATTCATTTTTTTTTATATTTGTTCAATGAAATGCAGTTGAACAACCGGTTGGATATTCCGTAATCCAAAAATGTAATCTATACTAATATAAATGTGAAAGTTTGTGAGGATGAATAAATGTATGTATGTTTGTGACTCTTTCACGCCTAAACTACTGAACGGATTTAGATGAAACTACATAAATACAGATTATACATCAGAATAATATAAAGGCTACAATTTACAAAGGTTTTGTGTGTCACAATATAGCGATCACTATCAAGTAAGTCGGAAAAATTCTTACTGCCTGAGAGCTATCTTGTCGTGCGTTGTCTATACCGTTATGAGGATAATTTACCGTAAAATTGTTTATCTTAAATGGTTCCAAACAAAAGTCCGTGATAGCAAATATCTACCTTTTATGTGGTAGCCACTATATGCAAAATACCGAGCCATAAAAATAATTAAATTTGATACTTTTTTTACAATACACATTTTAGAATATATCAAGTTCTTATAAAAATTGATACAATTTTCGTTTTAAGTATTTAATATAGATATACTTTTTCTTTTACACTAAGTAATTTGGACGAATTGTTAAAATGTTTTCACGATAAGATTAACTTGACGCAACACAGTGTGCCATTACGCGTCGCGTCTATTGTAGACGACGGGGGACGATGCGCGCGGGTAGAGGGGCGGTCTAAGCAATGAAGCGCCATCGCCGAGAACGCGACCCAAAACGCGGGCAGACGCGTGAGGGCGGAAGTCGTGGACGGTTGTGTTAGTTTTGCCAAATTTCTTCATACGTAACATAATTTGATTCTCGAAGCTATTCATTACTTAGTGCAGCTGTATTTATGTAAAGTTTCATCTAAATCTGTTCAGTCGTTTAGGCGTGAAAAAGCCACAAACATACATCCTCACAAACTTTCACATTTATAATATTAGTATAGATGTGTGTCTTGACAAATAACGTGAATTTGTCAGATTACATGCAAACCAACTTAAACCGGAGTTATTGAACACAGTACCCAGGATCAGAATGAAAAGCAAATTCCAATAGAAATCTTATTGGATAGTGTTGATATCAGAAACACAACAGAACGTCCGAAAGTGAGCAATGAGACTGAGGAACAATTTGTTCAATGTTTCATGGTGAATTTTATTAGTTCGGACTTCCATTACCTAATATGAGTCCACTATGATTCGAAATCAATGAAAAAACAAATAAAATTAAAATGAATAGCTAAAATATCAATTTTATAATGCAACAAAACCTGAAAATAGAATAAAACGAATAAATTAATCAAGATACAAAATGAAGATGACTACAGAGGAAAAAGAAATAAAAAAAGAATTAAAATAAAAATAAGCAAAAAATTAAAAAATATTCCAAACCAAATTACTTCACGACGTTTCTATTGTGACGGGTGACGACTGGACTATTCCGACAGCCATCTTAATTTCAAACAGGTTGGATTCGAGAGGTGTCTATTTATAGGTCATTCAAGTGCTTTCATCTATTCTCTCTTCGCTTCAATTTAACGGAAGTTGACCGTTTAGCGGGGGTTGACCGTTTTCCGCTTGATTACAGGTTTCCATGTGTTGCGTATTTCTACGCTAGCTTGGCTGAATGCGTCGTTGGACAACATATATTCAGCTTAATTGAACTTCCTCTTAAACCAGTATTCCTTCCTGTGGATAAACTCAGCTGATATAAAATTTTTCAACATAACAATAATAGATTACAATCAAATAGATCACAATTATATTGAATGTGATATTCAACATATACTGTAGTTACTTCTTTAATCTGACTTTGATGTCAGAAGTATTTGTAACTTGTGCTTTTACTTGACTCTTCAATTTTTATTTCAATGCCAAAGCATTGTAAAACCTAATCTTCAGAATAATAAATTGTTGTTTCTCGGCTTATTACATTGATGATTGATAATAATATTAATGGAAATTACTTGCTTCATTTTCAACAACAAATTCTTGAAAGTAATTGTCACTGTAGTTGATGTATGCGGCTCTCGACTAAAATCAAATTCAATTATGCAACCAACTATCATAATGTACCTAAATAAATATTACTGGAGTTTTATCCCAACACCAAACCGTTATTTTCGACTCCTCGTTACGTGTTTCAATCACCTAAGTGATCATTTTCAAGAGGAAGATGATCACTTGGTGATTGAAACACGTGTCGAGGTGTTGAAAATAACGATTTGGTGTTGGGATGAAACCCCAGTAATATGTATCACTGTACCCAAGGTTCCAAACAGTGCATCAAAATGCACAAAATGTATCTAGTCGATTGTGAATTGAATCTGCTACGTTCTGGTATCTGTAGAGTAGGGAGGGTGAGTGAAGACTCACGGCACTTAGGCCACATGTGACCCATTGTACATCCTCCCAAGGAGTTGTCCTCCTAGGTCATCGTCCATCCTGTCACTAGGAGACATCTCCTTTATATTGGCAAGTGTAGGCCAAGACTCGCCGAGTAAACATTCTCTTTGACAACTTTGAGGTGTCTCACGGTGGCCTCCGCGAAGGTTTTGGAAGGTGCAGCGATATTACTGTCGTTGCGCGGCTTCTTCAACTTTCTTGGGGTTCCCTCCGTGATGGTGCGATTCCTTGCACAGGTTGGACAATAAGAAGTGAAAATTGGCCGTCCGGCCTCTGGCTCTGTCCAGCGGTTGACACGGTGGTCAATTGAATGAGTGGAGCAAACCACTCACGCCAACCTAATCGGCTACCTTCCCGCTAGTAACATCAACTAAACAGGTGTAACGAATTAAAGAATTAATTGGCTTGAACAAATTTATTTATAACAATATTTCACTGTCACAAACTAATTTATATTCAATACTTAGCAACTAACGCTTAATTTATTTCCACTATTTGAATTCCTTGTTTAACCGCTCGATTCACTTTCTTAATTCAACTGCCATCTCTTGACGAGAAGCCGGCTTTATATATCCGTAACGATAGCTCTAGAATTCTATAGCCGTTTCGGGACTCGACAAGAGTTTAATCGGTGGTTGTTGACTGCATTCCTTTTGCGGTGATGTCATGTGTTTGTTCGCTTATCGACATATCGGTCAGAGGCGGATTCAGATTCGTTACACAAGTAATGAAGCAATATGCAGTATTCCACTTGAAAAAAAAATATTCATGGACTTTCTTTTTCTGTCTTGATTCATACGAGTCTTCATATTGTTCTTTAGTTCTTCATAAACGAGTCTCCCACTTCTTATCTGAGCGATATTTACAAAACTATAAACTATACATGTTTACTCCAACTTGCAATAAGCCTTATCTACAAAACTAAGGAGTTTTTAATGTTGTAGCTACACAACTAGAGTTTTGAAGACATGTTTATAAGGACCTTTTCAGTCCCTTAAATTAATCACAGTGATTAAGAGACACGTTGTTTATCTTGTAAATTTCATATTGAGAAACTAGTACAACTCACCCTAAAGAGTTCCATTTTCATAATTTGCATGTTTAAAACTCCTCTACATTCATGTTTCAGTATGTTTTGGATCATGTACGTTGTCAGATGTGCCTTTCCTCCGTTGGAAAGTTCTTCAAATACCTCACAATCCAACCGATGTTCAACTTCTACAACCTTTACGAGTTCATGAACATGATATCCTGGTACACTGAACAACGTGAACGGAAAGAAAATGTCGAACTGGGTGTAGGTTGCAACATAAAATATCTAAAGTTTACATTTCCTTGCAACATGACAACTCGAGAAGATTCTGAAAGAATAAGATTATTCGGAACTGGAGGAAAATTGCTTCAGGCACTGAAGCGACTGATGGGAAATTTGAAAAAGCTTCAATTTTTGGAGTTGATTGACTTGATGCTCGATCCACAAGAAGCCCAATATTTGTTGGACGAAGTGTGTGAAACATGCTGTATGACACTGCGGTCTCTACATCTTATCAACACTACAAGGGTGCCATACCAGTTACTGCATGTGGGAGTGTTCTTGAATTTACAGGTAATCGATTAGATGTACTATAATAAGGAATGTTTGCAAATTTTCACTGCTGAACTCAAATACTAATGGAATAATTCACCAGCGCAACTTTTATGAAATATATTTATTTAATGGACTATACATTATGTCTCTCAGGGTGAGCACGTTTGAACGTTTTCAAATAACAGAATAAAATAAACTCTGTCCATTCAACAAAGTAACCCAGACAATGATAGATGCGTGATCCCCACGTGATCACCACGCATATTTGAATCTATTGGGTAAAATAAACAAGCCTTCTTACGCTGGCCAATCAGATTTGACTGCAATCGGCTGGCAGAATTCATCCAGGTATATCGCTTACAAGGTCGGAGTGGTGGTACGTTTTAACGCTTGTGGTGTGTACGTATACGGTATTTTGAAGTTTAAAATTTGTAAAATGTCAAGTAATAATACGGCTGAAGAAACTGCTAAGTGTCTCCCTACACTCCACCTAAAAAATGTTACTATACCCAGCCGCCACTGGTTACCATAAACCAAACGTGACGTAGCTGAGAGCATGGGAATATCCAATGTTACATGCCGCTCGAGAAGCAGCAAGAAACATGCTACCGATGTTGATGGAACTTCGGCGAAATTCTACGATGTTCTATTGCGATATTTAAACGCTGGCTGCAAGCGTATTCGGACAGTCAAGTACACAGTGAAGTGGACGTTATAGTGCGATACGCGAAGTGATCTAGTAAGGCGATAAACATTAAAATAATAGTTGAAATTTTTAGTTGAAGTGTTTGTTGTATTTCAAGCGAAATAAAGTTAAGTTTGGTTATTCAAAGTAGTCAATTATTGGTGAACCCACGGATAAAAACGTAACATTATTTTAAAAAATCGGTCGTTCCTTAGTGCGACTCTGTACAAGTAGCCTTGTCTGGGAGATATATTGTATAGGTAATCCAAGCGACTGGAGAAATGTACAGCAAAATGGATTAACGGGGTCTCTCAGTCAAAAAATCAAAAATCAAATCTCTGGGTTGTGGTCTACTTTGGTCAGCAAACAGTAGGATGTGTATATTTCATAATCTTCCAGATTTTGAGGTAGTCTCACAATTCTACCGGATCTAGTCACAGTAGATTATTGGTGTTGTAGGTTACATTTTTTTCGACTTCGACCTCGAAGAGCTACAAAAATTTGTTTAGTACCCATTTTCTCCCTCATTCTCATGTATACTTTCATTGTCTTCCACGGGAATTCCTCTAATCATTTGTTCTGGCTGATTTTCTGTAGTTTTATGTAAATATTTATCAATGTTCATCTCTTTATATTTCATGATGCTTTCATCTACTCGTACATCCCCAGATCTTATCACTATTCGTTTTTCTGGAAGCCATAGTCGATAATCTCCACCACAATGGCCCACCAGTACTCCTTTTTCTGCTCTTTTGTCAAGTTGGTTTGGCTTTGGTAATATTGTGTACCATGCACGACTTTTATTTTATCCAAGTCACTTTTTCCATGAAAAATGTTTGCAGGTTTGACCCTTAGGTAGACTATTGGTAAGTAATCGATTCAGTTCATACACTGAACACTTGAATGCTTCGCACCATAATTCTTTTGGACCTTCCAAGTTTATTAGTTTTGTTCTTATTTTATTTAGCAGTGTTCTGTTGATTCTCTCCGCTTTGCCATTTTCTTGTGGGGTGTAAGGGTTGTGTATTCTAAAATTATTCCTTTTTTCAAACAATATGTTCTGAAATTATTTGAAATATATTCTCCACCATTGTCGAGTCTCATAGCTTTTACTTCGACATCCTTTTGTCTTTCAATTTCTTGTACGTACTTTATTAGATTCTGTTCAGCCTCGTCTTCTGTTTTTATTGTTTGATAACAACAAACTGTGAGTAGTCATCAATTATTGTTTGAAAATATTTTCATACATCAAAAGCTACAGGATTAATTGGTCCATAGACATCACTGTGTATCAAATCACCAATATTTTTGGTTCTTCTCTCTGACTCTTTGAATGGTAATCTGGTACCCTTGCCTTCAATACATGTTGAACACATTTTGTCCATATTTCGTAAGTTAAGTGGTCCACAGACATCACTGTGTATCAAATCACCAATATTTTTGGTTCTCCTCTCAGACTCTTTGAATGGTAATCTGTTACACTTGCCTTCAATACATGTTGAACACATTTTGTCCATATTTGGTAAGCCGAGTTGTTTTAACACTTCTCTACCGGGATGGCCTAGTCTTCTATGCCACAGATCACTTGCTATTGTTCTATATTCACCCGTATTTCCAGGTGCTTCCTCATTTACAACTTTGTCAGCTGTTAAAACATATAGTTCTTTTCAGTAATCACAATTAGAAAAAAAAAATCTCCATTTCATGTTTCTCCATGATTATCTTGCATCCTTTTTCTGTCATTTTTGATGCAGATAGTAAATTATGCTGCATATTAGGTACTATAAAGGCTTCAACAGACACCTTTTTTCCTTGGCATTCAAAGTTCCTTTCTTATTAGTTTTCAAATTTTCACCATTTGCTATCTGGATTGTTACGTACTGGGGTAGAGATTTTATTTCGGTCATGTTTTTCTTAATATCTTCTTTCACAAAGTGGTTACTCGCTCCCGAATCAAGAACAAAGTATATCTTGTCTTTGATATCACATAAATTTGCTGCATACAACTGTATTTCAGTTTCATTTCGTTTCTCATTAGCATTATTTGCCTGCTGCTGATTATGTTGGCTGTAATTGTACTTCTCGTACCTCGATATCCTGGTCTTCCTCTACCTCGGCCTCTAGTATTTTTAGGACATTTCATGACATGATCTGTACTTCCGCATCTGTAGCATCTTCTATTATCAGTTGCCTTGAAACTTGTCTCACTGTCATACTTTTGACACTCCTTTGACAGTAACTTTAATTCTTCATCTAGTAATCTAGCCTTTGCAAAATCTATGGTCAACTTATCAACTTTTACGATTGTACCATATTTTGGTGGTAATGTCAAAAACAAATGACATACTCTATCACTTTCATCTTAAACAGTTCCATGTTCTTTCAGCTCTCGAATGACTGAGTCAAACTTCACAAAGTGATCTTCTAATTTTTCCCCAGATTCTAACTTTAGATTTATAAGCCTTTTCCAAGTTGATAATTTGGTAAATGAACTTGACCTGGCAAATACAGCTTTTAGAGCTTCAACTTGTTGTTTTGCATTTTTGCAGTCTTTGACAATGTCCAAATGTTTATCAGACAGTCCCTGAACTATCATTGAATGAGCTTTTGTGTCTTTCTTATGCCAGTCCTTCTTTTCAGCTTCTGTTGCCGTTTCATTCAGCTGTGTTTCCAAAATTTCCTCGCATAGTTCTCGTCTCAGAATTGTTTGAATTCTGAACCACCAATTATTGAAATTGTTTGGCTCCAAAATTGGAACTGGGAAGCTTGACAGTCCCCACATATCTTGGCACAATCATGTCGCTGGAATTGCAAAGGCTGCTTCTCAAAAGCTTGGAACACTGTTCTGAACCAGAAAACTGTACACACCTCAGCAACTTCTGATGCTTTATGAAGCTAAGATCAGGTCTTCTTTGGAGTATTGTTCTCATGTATGGAGCTCTGCTCCCAAACATACCCCGAAGTTGCTGGATTCTATTCAGAAAAGAGCCACCACTTGCAACCTTGATAGCCTGGAACATCGAAGAAAGGTTGGAGATTTGTCTCTCTTCTATAGATACTTTCACGGGAGGTGTTCAAGTGACTTGGCAAACTTGATTCCACCAAGAGCGGTACATATCAGAAATACGCGACGGACTGCGGCTGGTCATTGTTTTGAGGTTCAACTCAGTACACCGCGAACTTCACTGTTCAAGGACTCCCTCATTTGGAGAACTGCGTTTATGTGGAATAAACTTCCTGAGACCGTTTTTCCAAACGGATTTAATCTCCCGCGATTCAAATCCAATGTGAATCACTACTTTCGCACAGGCACCGCTCTGAGAGCACCTCAAGGATTTTCCTGTAGTGCTTGTGTTGTCCTTAAAAAAATTAAATTTCCAATTTGAACATTTTATTTTTTAAGGTTTAATTAGTTTTTACCTAGTCAGGTAAAAGTATTAGTCATTTAATAAATACTGTTTTATAAAGCACTAACTAGATGGAATTTAGTCAGTACGAACATTGTTCAGTGGAAATCTCACAACGTTTTAGATTTTCATCAAGCATCGGCCAATTCCATTACATAGCTAATAAAAATCATGCTCATTTTATTAAATTTTTTTCAGGAATTGTATATCAGCCCACAAAATCTAGGAGATGATTTGATTGAACTGATAGGTTCTACCCGTCTAAGGCATTTGCACATCCTTCAAAACAGATACACCCCCAATGACGTTAATATCAGGCCTGTATCACCATGTATTTGGAAAAGATGTCGGAAAAGTAACACACTTCTTAGTGTTCACTTGCAAGTGCAGAGTATAAAAGAAAAAACTATTATTTGGCAAGAATGGGCTCCTGTTAGAACAGTTTTGTACGACTCACCACATATTGGCGTAAGTTGACTCATTGAAAAAACGTTCACTTAAAAAATATTGAATAAATTGAACTGATTTATTATTGATTCACTGATGAAGCGCATTTATGATTATTATTATTATTTTGCAGCTTAGAACGGATGCTCTTTTGAATGCAGTGGAATTCTATGGAAAGGATTTGAGGATTTATGGACACAAAAACATACCACGATTTCACAGGTCAAAATCTTTCAGCGAGAGAATCGATGAAAATTTAATGATGCTCGTTCGAGGCTGCACGTATCTATCTACACTGGTAAGTTTTACCATCAAAAGGTCGATATATGGGAGTGTGACTCTCCTCGATGCCGAAAAAAAAAATGACAGTCGCGTTTTCAAAATATTTCATAAAATAATATTTTTTCAAATAGAACACCCTACAACAAAAAATGTCTTTGTTTTGTCAAATAAAACCTCATGATTGTCTGAATACCCAATTTTGGTATTTATACGAATAACAGTATTTTGTTACTAACAGCAATAAGAAAAAATTGCGCTGGGATTTGAACTCGTGATCATCATGTCGTACCACTCACTTGACACCACCAAGCTATTTGATATCAATTTACAAAACAATAATTTCCATCTTAAAGCCATTTCATTAGCCGTATTTATTTTGTGAATCAAAATATGTCTGCTATAATGATAACATTGAAGCAGTTTTTGTACAGAACAGAAAATACTTGAGCGTTGAATAACACTTCCAAATTACAAATCATGAAATTATCTGTTTAAAAATCTGTTTTTCCGTTAATCAGCTGTCGCCCCCATACGAACGACAACTCTCAGAAGTTGAGAAACTTGTGCGAACTAAGGACTAACGAGGTCTTACCTTTAAACGTGTAATTCCTAACAACAATAAATATTATTCGACGCTACGGGGCGATTTTATTGATTCCAGTGGCGCATTTGGTTTTTCAGCTGCAAGAAAACCCGGAAAAACCTGTAGCACCACATCATCTGAAGATATTGATCTGCCAATGTCCTCTCTCTCATAAAACAAAATGTAGGGAGTCTCCAGAGGCTCCAATAAGTTCTATACATCGCCAGAACACTTCGTGACACGACTATCGTCAAACTTGAACCTTGAACCAGTCCGTTTCGTCTTTGACCAAGGCGTAATAATGACCAAATTCAACGCCAGAGCTACAGTGAACAATGATTGCATGAATATTATAATAGTGGTCTGCTAGATTGAAGTGTTCATATATTTCGAATCTTCATAAGAGTTTGGTGCTTACGTCAGAGGTTGAGTCATGTTTGAAGATCATCAGTGTTATTGTCAAATTACCTGGTGCCTCAGCTATAGGTACTTGTTTCCTTATAACAGTCAGTTAGTTTGGCACATATTTGGTAATACAGTCGATCATCACCTGTTAAAAGTTCCATTTTCAGATGATTCAACAAAAAGCTTTGCTCGGACTGGTTATTAGTTATATTAGGAAACGCTAGTTGAAGTTCCAGAAATTCACATTCGTTTTTGCTAACTCTTGAACATTTATTACAAAGTTAACAAGTGAGGATTCTTCCAGCAAAAGATTTACAAACACAAGACGAGATAGACTGTATAGAATCATTCAATGCAGAGCGATCGGGAGTATTGATTCTGGTATTGTTTTGCTCACGAAGAGTATTCAACAAGAACCCTAAGAATTCGGAACAATCCTCTTGTTTTCCTAACGAGTATCTAGTGGACTTCAAAGACTCCAGGAAATCGGTTGGAGGTAAAGATGATACATTCTTACGAATCTGCAGCTGCATGAACAGGTGCTTGAGTTTGATAAATAAGTAGGAAACATTCTCGTTCTCTTCATCATTAAAACCTCGTTCTTGAAATTCTTCGTCATGAACAACACTTGTAAAATGCTATTCATGTAGCAAGTGTTTCCTAAATTATCTAATCCAATTTTCTTCTCTAAAACAGTATTATTATGAGTAATCAAGTTGCCTTGAAACTTT